GGTGAATTGCAAATGGATCAAAGATTTTCAAATGAAACTGTAAATGTACTAGAAGAAAATATGAGAGAGTTCTTTATAACTTTGGAGAGGGCAAGGAGTTGCTAAGTTGACCTAAAACCCAGAAATCAAAAAATTGATAAATTTAGCCACAAACTTTTGCATAACAACAAAAAAACATAACCAAGAACAAAAGGGGGGAAATATATTTGCAATTCTAAACTTCCTAGGATTTAAGAACTCATAGAAACTGAAAAGAAAAAAAAAACTGAATAGAAAAATTGGCAAAACATATGAAAACACAGTTTACATAAAAGGAGAGACTAAATTGTTCTTAAAGCATTAAAACAAAAACAAAAACAACTAAGCCTCACTCAGACTTTCTTAAGATACTGTTTTCATCAAGACTGGCAATAATCCAAAAGTTATGTGGTATATATATGGAGTATGCATAAAGCAAATGTACTTCACAGGGCCTGGTTTTCCAAAGCCTTGCAGTTTCAAATATTGACCTTGCAAAGGATAAGAAATTTTTCCCAGGCTACAGTCTCTGTTGTAAGATAAAGAATTGTAACACAGCAAGGTTGCTGGCTCAAAGACAGACAGGTTACTGATTGATATGTAAAGATACTGGGAAATTGCTGTAAGAAGAGAATGTTTGCTAAAATCAAGCTTTTGTTAGTGGATCGACTTAATTGCATTATAGAATGTCATCTTACTGAATGTTACCAGCTTCTATTGTTAAACTATACTTAGCAAAAACGCCACCTATGTTCTCTTCCTGTAACTTCCTGGTCTGGAGAATAAATGTGGGAAGAGAACCCCAATTCATGGTTAATTTCCCAAATGGAAGGAATGCCTCTCTCTTGAGGGTTCTGGGAGATTAACCCCTTTTCGGGGCTTCTCACTACTCAGAAGAGATGGGCTTTGAGTAATCTTTGGCGGCTCCATCACCAAGGGGAAAAGGGGTGACAAATCTGTGGGAGACAAAGCAACATATATACTATGATGGTAAGAATTTGGAGTAGCAGGCATTGTTATTGGTAGGATTATTCGTAAGTTAGTAAATTAGTACAACTCTGAGGGCAATTTGGCAATGTCTATCAATTTCATTATGGTATTATGGTAATTTCATTAAGTTAATATTTACTACAAATTCTGGCAGGAGAAATTTTTATACCTTTCCCTTTTATTTTCTCTATTTTGGGTCTACTAAAGAGAATTAGTTTTAGAAAGTGTTGAATGTCATGTCTCTGAGAATATAAACTAAGTCTTATTCAAACACATTATGCATGTTGGGCAGATTTTTATGATAAGATTTCAGATTATATGAGATGAAAACTGGTTTAATAAAATCATTAGTGAAGAGGTTTATATATCAAAGTCAAGTTCTAATCAAAGTATTCTGGAATAGATTCATCTCGTAAAACAAGGTTTTTTTCTTCAGTGTTTCTGTTTTTGCTGACCTAACCTTTTATCCTATGTGACTCACCAAACTAGAAAAATGATACATTTTCCTTGAATGCACATATTTTTAGTAAAAGAGCAGAATATTTTCCTTCTGTGTCATTCATTAATGTGAATTTTGGGGGGGGGAAATGTGTGTGTTTGTGTGCGAATGTATAACATTACTAGCACCTCTGTTGATTGAGGGCCTTGCAAGTTTGTGTAAAAGAAAGGGAAGGGACAGGCATTTATGATGTTTAAGGATATGACAATGGATATATTGTTCATTAAGAAAAAAAAAAGGTTTGCTGTTTGTATAGATAGGGTTAAACCCATTTCTGTTACTGTAAAAAAAAAAAACTTAATTAATAGTGTCATCTTCATATAAAAGAGGTAGCATATTACTTATGTTAACACTCTCTCATCCTACACTTTTGGAGAGTGAAGTTTTCCACATAAATTAATTTCCCAGCATGCTGTAGTAAAAAAAGCTTGGGTTTGGAGCCAGGAAGAACTGGATTCAAATTTGACTTTATCACTAGCCTGTGACAGTGGCCAAGTGACATGACTTAGTTTTCTTTTATATAAAATTGGGTTAATAATACCTGCCTTGTGGGGCTCCTGTGGGAAGAAAATCCTCTCACATGGTGCCTGGCTGTACTGGTTAATGAACGACCCCTCCTTCTGGGTTTGGAGGCCTTCCTCCACCCTCCTTTAGCTCCTTGCGCATACCACTGTCAGAGCACTTCACACCCTCTGATGTCTGTTTATTTGATTATCTCTGGGGATGGACTCTGCTTCTTATCTCATCTCTAGCACTTAGGACACTGCCAGGCCTGTTAGGTGGATGGAATAATTTAATTTTATTTTAATACTTTAAAGTAGAAATATTTTTTGAATATCTTAACTATAACGTATTGAATCTGTTGTAGAAATTTAGTGTTGACGCATCCATTAGACTTGGATATGTTCCAAGAGGACCTGGGGACCGTGGGCCCAGTTAGGACAAATCACCACTAGATGGGGATCTTATTCACTCTGGCATCAGTGGAAAGACTGCTCAGTTTTTTACATCTCCCTTTGAGCTCAGTGTTACTATTGTTACCTTAATATGAGGAGATGTCAAGAGTTTAGGTAACTTTTGTAATGCCATATGACTAGCACACAGCAGTATTGCTATTTGAACTAAATGTTTTTTATGTCTAGTGCATTTTCCACGATATTAAATAAGTTCATTTGGAATACTTAGCATAGTATGTGACACACAGTGCCACTAAATGGTAGTTACTATTATTATTGTTATAGCAAAACTTTCTACCTTGAGGTTTGACAATCTGCCCAATGCATGCATTATTATAGCAATCTGTAATGAGCTTATGCAAACTTACTTTTAGAATTGAACTCTCTTCCATGGCTATATCAATCTTGTGGACAACTGCAGTGACTTTTGACTCTGAGTCACTACTAGTCAAAGCCTTAGGATTTTAAACTCTTCCCTCAAGTCACCCCTCTTTTCCTCGTGGGGTACTGAGTAATTTTCTTGCTTCGTGGCTGCTGGACTTTGGCTGCTGTCAGTGTTGTTGCTTGGTGGCTTCATTTCTCTGGGTGCCGTTGAGCTGCATGCTTCCACTGTTCCTGTTGCTTGCAACTGCTGTAGCTGTGAAAGTTAAAATATGTTTTTTTAACATCCAGGCCAGTGAGAACAACTCTGTTAGGCTCCCAAAAGGTAGTTAGCTTTCTTTTCGGAGGTCCATTCAATTCATACAGTGGTTGGAGAAGAGATAGAATGATCCTTTTGATTTTAGTTCTCTGCCTCAGAACTTCCTAGAACTTTGGATTTCTAAGTCCACAACCTCTCTGGAATTCTGCAAGATGGCTTTTGCCTGCATCTGTTTCCTAGACCAGAATTTTGCTGTGAATCAGCTGCTGTCATGCTGAGATATTGATTCCTTCAGCTTCTTGGAGGATGTCACCTCTGTTTACCCCAGTTCAGCATATAAATATTACCATTTTCTTTATTTTATTTTATTTTATTTTTTGTCCTTTTTGAGACTGGCCGCACCCTGCTCAGCCAGTGAGCGCTGTGAGCGCACTGGTCATCCCTATATAGGATCCGAACCCGCGGCGGGAGCGCCACGGGCTCGGCCCTAAATATTACCATTTTCTATGTGTGTGCTCAAACTTAAAAGTGTTTAAGAAGTACTGCCCTAGGTGGCAGCTTCTTTAGTCCTCTTTTATCAATTATCACTCCACTGTTTACTTTCTATGTTCCAGAAACTTGTTGACAGTATACATCTGATTGTTCTTCTCTTTTCCTATTTACTATTTACATTATTAATTTTTACAGTTTGTAACCCTTTACTCTCATACCAGTGGGTTCTTGGGAGGGACAGAAAATATGTGCAGGTCAAGATGCCATTTTTAACTGAAAATCAGGTTTTGGGTTTTTAAAAAATTAAACTTCATTAAGGAATAATTGATTTACAACAAACAACAGATCTTTAAAACTGAGGCAGGATAGAAGAGGGACGGGCCCCAGGGAGGCTGCTCATGAATATTCAGGCAGAATCAGCACTAACCACTTCCTTGCTTTGTAGTAAACCCATAATGAGCTGACAACAGCTTAACCACACAACTAGTCAGCATGCTACACCTGGAACTTTGCGATTTATGAACAAGAAACTAATATCAGGAAAAACCGCAGCACCTGCGCATTAGGAGTAATGCCCCACTGTGCATGTCCAGAAAACTTCAGAAACTCAGGGACTCATGACAGGAAGCTGATACAACCTCGTATCAGCCTGTTAGGCCTTAATTACCCTAGATCCTCCCCCATGGCCGAATATTCCTCACCTTAGGACAGAGGAAAACCTCCACCCCAAAGTAACATATAAACCCTTCCGTTAAAGAATCCACAGTGCATTCTTCCTTCTGGAAGACGCCTGCGCACTCTCCTGCAAATATTTTGTTTTGCATTAAAGCTCTGTTTTTCGAATGTTTCGACTGTCTGTCCCTCTTCCTTGACTTTCATTGTATGGGTGCTCACTGCAATGCAGGGCCCTCTTGGTCCGTGAAAGGTATATCTTCATGGTTTGACCAAGAACCTAAAAAATGCAGTCTAGTAACAATGTGAGACAATTTGGTACATTTCAACATGTGTATCTGTTTGTGAAACCATTGCTACAATGAAGATACCTACTATACTTATGAAGAAACTGAGGCTTGGAGAAGCCGAAAAGATGAAATCAGAACCCAGATCTCAGGTCTCAAGTTCCATGCTGTAGGCGCTACACCCCGAGTTCTAGCTGGAAAAACAGTGAAAAACACACTCTCTCTCAAATCTAGTTACTCACTTCTTCAGTAAAAGAGTTGTGCTAACGGATGCTAATGGCTTTTTCAACTTTAAATTCCTTTGCTTCATTTATATTTCTTATGCAGAGGTGGTAAACCTCTGTTCTAATACAGTGTGTTTTAATTAAATGAAATTGCACTATTCTCTGTAATTTTCACAGTGGAGCTATCCAAGACATTACAATCATATTGTTTTCTTTTCATAGGCAAGTGTTTAAGAAGCTTATGGAGCAATATGAGGCAAAGTAATATAGGATCTGCAGGAAGTCCCTCAAGAAAATTGGTGAGACAATAAAGATTTCTGTTTTCTTCAAGCGTATAATATATTTATTTTTCTGAATATAAACTTCATAGCTTTATGCTCACAAGAAACGTTTTCTTCAATCTTTTGTGATTATGTGATATTTAAGCTTACCAATCGTGGAAGCTATAATAGTTACTTAAGCTTAACTGTATTCACTTTGCCAGAGAATGCGGATTTTATGAAGATACAGATATTCATAATGATATAGACCTATCTAGAGAGCTGTCTTTATATTTCTCAGATGTTATCATCAATGACTAAAATGCTATAGCCCAAAATATATAAAATACATCTAACACCTATACAAAGGCATATATTGTATTATAACCTATACAAAGTTATAATCAGATTTGACTGTTCTAAGACCTGACAATTTGTTTTCTAATTCTCCAATCTTAGGAAAAGAAGATTTTATAGACTCTTCATCAAGATCTTCATTTATACATCTGTTACATCCAAGGCTGCTGTGGTGAAATCATGAGTAAAAATACATCTGCTGTAGTATCATCCAGTCTACTTGAAAAGTAATTTTAAATTAAGTGTAATATGTTTTGAAATATCATAGTTTGAGATGTATAGACTGTTAATGAACATTTGGTTGGAAGTCTTTTATAGCTGGCTATCTAATGTGGTCTAAGAAAGCAGTAATGAGTAATGAGTAAAATAATACATTGAATTACCTTTTGATGTAAATCAATGTATGGACACAATCATCATTCTCTTTAAAATTATTTGTAGAGATTGCTTTTCTTTTAAATTTGATTTTATTTTTTGAACATCTAAAATGTTTTATAATTTCAGTATAAAGATTACGTAATGTAAGATTAGCTTTTGCTGACTAATAAACTGCCCCAAAGTGCTTTAAAACAGTAAGCATCTGTTCTTTCCTGTGATTCGGTGGATTGGCTGAGCAGTTCGCAGTTCTGCTCTGCTGTGTGGCTGAGATCTTTTTAGCTTGGTCTCTCATCCTTCAACAGGCTAGCTCAGGCTTTTTCATGGTAGTGAATGGTTCCTAATGACAAGCACAAAGTTTTTCAAATGTCTATTTTTCTCATGTTTGCTGGTGTCCCATTGGCAAAATCAATTCATATAGCCAAGTCCAAATTCAAGGAGTGGAGATGTAGACTTTACTTTTAAGGAAGTGAGCAACAAAGTCACATTACCAAGGGGCATGCACACAAGGATTGGAGGAATTAGTAGCCATTTTGCAAATACATGATATACATTTAACAAGTTATATTCGGAGAAGTCCTACTCTTATTCTTCTCCTTCACTCTGTGCCCTCATTCCTCCTATAGATAACCATTTTTATTCTTCTTCTTAGTGCTTCTTTTTGCATAAGCAAATGCATATAAATATAAATATACGTACATATATGTTCACATAATATATCTATTTGGATTCCACTTCCAAGAATATTCTTTAGTAGAAGGTAGCATATTATATACACATACTGCTTTGACCTTGCCTTTTTGTCTTAACTTAAAATTATGTCATGGTGATCACCTCGTATCAGTTTATAAAGACCTTTGTTCCTTATTATAAGTGCATAGTATCCTATCCTGTGGATGTGCTTTAAATGGCCACAAACGTGTCTTTTAAAGTTACTTACCTAATTCATTAAATTATTTGGCTTTGGAATTTTTCAGTGTAGTGTAATAATCAGCTGAAAGCAATTCTCTTCAGTCACCATTAATAAATCTTTAAATTTAATTAATATTTCAAAAGTATTTTTCTTTGTTCTACTCCAAAGAAAGAACCATTATTGCTGTAAATTCTTTTATGTCTTGGTTGTTTTATAGAGAAAATTAAAAATACAGGTAAGAAAATCCATTTGATTGCTTTTATATCACCAAACTTTTTAAAATGTAGTTACTAGTAGGTACTAAATATTTTAGGTTGTCTAGATTTAAGAATTTGATTTAACAAGTAGTTTAAAGAAAAAAATGGTACAGATCTCTAGCTTAACCTGTGAGTGCTAATTTACTTTATTTTAGGGATCCTGCCTTTCAAATGATTACAGTTACCAGGGAAACAGGCCTTGGCTTGAAGATCCTAGGAGGAATTAACCGAAATGAAGGTCCTTTGGTATATATTCAGGAAATTATTCCCGGAGGAGACTGTTATAAGGTAAAAATAACTCCCCTAACAAAAGACAAAAACAAAACCCACTAGTGGTGAGGTTTGTTTTTCTACTTTATCAGTAAATTCTTAGTATTAACTGAATGTCCACTGTGACCATATCTCATGAGAGATACAAAAGGACTGGAAGATAGACGTTTAGCCTTAAAGAGCTTTAACCTAGCAAATGAATAGGTTCTTCATATACAAAAATAACACATATTTCGGTGTCTAACTAAGGTTATATACATCTTTATTATATTCTGTTCAACTTTTACCCTAAGTCTAGTTGAAAGAAATTATATTTGAAGACGTTATCTGTCTCATACTCCTGAGTTTTCATTAAGTTGGATCAGTTGAACTTGAGCTACTTTCATTTAGCCTTTCCTAAATGCAAAACTACCCAAACAAAAACAGCAAACAAAATCTACTTACTTCTGAATTTACATTAATTTTTGTTTTTTTTTTAATTATATCACTCAGTTGCCCACATGAGAAGTTAGAGTTAGACCAGAATGTCCTTTTTTTTTTTTCACTTTAGTTGTTAGGAAGCTCAGACCCAAATTTGAAACACAACCCCAGCAACTTGGTTAAGGAACTGGGTACTATATCTGCATTCTCATTTCTCTTGGATTTCATTTGCTACTTCTGTTTTACTAGTGTGATTATATGAAGGGTCTTCAAAAAGTTCATGGAAAGGTTTGTATTATCTTTTAATTCTATTTTTCCACAAACTTTTTGAATTACCCTCTTATATGTCATTTGTTGAAAATTGCCTCCAGTTCTTTTTGAAGAGATATGGGATATAAAGAATTTAACAAAATATTCTATCAATATCAGGTTATATAGCATGAGAAAGAATCCTCTTATTAAGTTTGTTCTTATCATCCTTGTTGTTTTGGTTAAATAAATAGTTTTACTCTTACTCTCCCCCCTTCGATCCCCAACAGCTGTAAAGACTTGTTTAGCAAGTAGTTTATCTACTCAAATGGATTTTTTTTTCCTTGTTAGTTTCATCAAAAATTCCAACATAGTCGCAATTATTTTAATTGTTTCAGGCTTGCTCAGATAATAAGGCATCTTCCAAATATACTTTCCAAGTTTAAGTATTATGTAATACGTTTAAGACATTATAATGAAATAAATATTTGGCTATCAAATTTAAATTATTAACCTAATAAGAATATATTTAAATGTTAAACAAAAATGAGTTTTTTCTTCTAAGAATTAAGATGTTTAGTACTACTTTAGTTTTTAAGCTGAGGGGTGTGTGTGTGTGTGTGTGTATTCAGTATAGCTAAGTTATTTCTAGACTGTACTTGATATAATGCAATAATAGGTAAAGGTACCCAACAAATAAGAATTTTCTTTTAAGACAGGCTTTAATTTATGCTTTATTATTACCATGAAAAATATTTGCAGTTAGAGTTATAAGTTGACAGTAGTGGTGCTGAAGGACTCTTTATCTGCTGTCAGTGTTAGCAGTCTAAGTAATTATACCTCTAATATATATACTTTTTTCTTGTTGGCTTTCTTAGAATTTCATTTAAAAGAATATTAAAAAGCAAGGGGGTTAATGAGAATGAGAAATTTGTTATTGGACACAAAGAATGATTATGTATAGTAATGATAAATAAGCTATCCTGATTTGACCATCACATATTGTACACAGCTATTGATAGTTAACTTTGTACCCCACAAATATGTATAATCATTTATGCTTTCATAAAAATAAAAAAATAGTCACACACACAGAAAACCCTTCAATATTCTCTATTTACCACTAGAGGGCAGCACAGAGCTATTAATGTTCTTTGATTATACCTGGTCCTGTCCAACAGAAGAAAACAGCCAAAATATAGAAAGATGTAGGAGGAGAAGAATAAGTAATTTTCCAGTGCTTACATTTATTTTTGAATATTTTCTCAGGATGGAGAGCTATATGCATATTTATTCTGCAAATACAAAATGGATGCAATTTTATTTTTAATTTTTTTATTATTAATAATACACTTCTGTGTTCTAAGTACTGTTTTAGGTATGTCAATAAATTCATAATGTGCACAACATTTATGCATAGTAAGTGTATTCAAAGACTAGGAAACAGGCTCATAATGTTATCCTTATTAAGTTGCTGAATTGAACAACTGTTAATAAATGCATATGAGTGCTTTAACTTGCTATAATTTTGTTGTAAATTATGTCTCAGAATTAACAATGTAAGCAATCTCAGACTTATAGATTGATTATATTCCTTTCATGTCCCAAACTTCCCAAAGTGTAAGGGATTATTGGAATTCAAAAAGGAATTTTCTTTAATTATGGTTAGCTACCCCCCACCTCAAATGTTTTTCTCCTGGAAAATATGGGAATACAAGAATGGTTCAATAGAACCAGAATATCATGTTTCTTTGAAAAATATATTCAGAGTTCAAACTTGGAATATCATGAACTCATTTTTTTTCCAGTTCAAGTAGGAAAGAAGATAAGATTCTCCCAGTTCTAAGAGATAAAGGCAGCATATAGGTTTAGAACAAATGCACTGGTTACTGAGTTAAGAAAATATAAGAACTTGGAGACCCTTTTACCCTATTACCTAGTCTCATATCAGTCTGGAGTCCTCAACATTTCAACATTAGAACTTTTCTCTGGCTGAGATACTCTTTTAAGCTTCATACCTCCATATGTAATTCCCCGATCAACATTTCCACTTGGATCTCTTAAAGTCACCTCAAACTCAACATTTCTGAGACAGAATCCATGCTATTCACATCACGCTCTTGTCTGCTTATTATTTCCCAAACAGGGCTTCTTCCAGTCTTCCAGATCTTGATGAATGACACCTTTTTCAATTGTACAAAGTCAGAAATCCTAACAGCTTCCTAACTACTTTCTCTCCCATATCAACCATATGCAGTTTATTAGCACATTCTGTCGACTTTTTTGCTCTCTAAATATCTCTTGAACCCATCAGTCTCCTTGATTTCCATTCTCATTGGCATAGCTTAAACTATCATCACTTTATATCAGCCCTCTCAATATCTTTGTCTGCTGTTATGCACTGTGCCTATTTCCCTCCCAAACTCTTTCTAATACTTGGTTGCCTACAAGGCTCTATATAGTGTGGTTCCTGCCCTCCACTTTTCTGGCTCTCCATCTCTATGTTTTCGGAAAGACATTTTCCCAGTTCCT